ATTTTGAGATAGAGTGATCCTATTGGAGTAATTTTATCGAACAAAAATTGATTGACTCCAAGGTGGTACGTAGAATAGATGCCTAATGTCATAAAACCAAAAAAAAGTATTGATGGGTGAGTTTTGAAATTATGGATTCTTATGAATGGATTAGACAACTATGTTAATAATATTTTTGTGTTTGTGCCATCTAGTCTTTTCTACGTACCACCTTGAGAGTCAATCAATTTTTGTTCGATAAAATGACTTTAACTATAGAATGTTACTACATTCTATTGATGATGGCGCTATTACTCAAATAGAATCACTCTATCTGAAAATTAATTATAAATTAACTAATAGCAAAAGACAGAAAAATTACTGATTCTTCTGGAGCATTTAAGGAGCAATTAATTGACATAGTGGAGCAATTTCAGATTCTGCTGGAGCACTTAAGGAGCAATTAATTGGCATACAGTTTAATTTTAAAAAGCAGATATTTTATATTTTATAGCAAAATTAAATTTTCGACTCACTCTTGTTCCCAATAAGTTCACCGTATTGTGGAATATATCCTCAGCAGTTTTTATCCTCATCGTCATAAGACCATCGCGGTCTTTTTCGCCATAGCAAAAGCGTTCATCTGGCACGAAGGCCTTATCTACCAAACTCTACAAAATAGGCCTCCGTGATCGTCTTGTTACCTGAAGGATCGTACTTTTCGTTTTAGACACGAAGGCACGCTCTTCTCTCAACGTCCTATCAAAGCCGGTGTCCCTCAGGGCTCAGTGCTTGCCCCTCTACTATATATCCTGTTCACAAACAACATTACCATCCCGTCGAATGGTGTTCAGTTCTCACTCTACTATCTTTACAGTAGACGACACTGCCCTCTACTGTAAAGATATCTCACTACCTTTCATACGGAACAAGATCCAAAAGTCAGTTAATGACTTAGGAGCTTGGTTCCAAAAATGGCGTATCGACGTGAACCCGGAGAAGAGCTCCGCCGTTCACTTCGATCATAAACGACGTCGCCCCACTACCATTCTGCCAATCCGTATGCTAGGGACCCCTGTCTCTTGGCATACGACCGCCAAATACTTAGGTATTACCCTTGACACGAGGCTCACCTTCGGGCCCCATGTCAAGAGAGTAACTCGCAACGCGCCCTTCTATCTGAGTAGGCTCAACAGTATGCTTGGCCGACACAGTTAAATGTCCCTCTGTAACAAGCGAACGCTATATATAAGGTCTGTATACGACCAGTCATGACATATGCAGCCCCCATCTTTGCGCATACTAAACCCAAAATTTTAAACGAACTCCAAATCGTTCAAAACCACTTCTGTCGTCGGGCCACGAACGCACCCTGGTACGTCCATAACGCCGACCTCCATCGAGACTTAGAGCTCTCCACAATCCAGCTAAAATCACTCTCTGAGAACTTCTTCAAAGCCTCAGAGTGTCACTCAAATCATCTCATTCGTGAGGCAGCTTCCTATGCAGCCCCACTCCCCTCTCGCTATCGAGTCTGCAGGCCGAGAAACTCTCTCTCGGACCTCCTAAACAAGCTTTCGGCCGACCTGAACTGCCTCCCGGCGGTTCAGGCCGAATCTTCTCCCCGTCCTTAATTTTCCTTAGTTAACTTCACCTCTCAGCGGCTACTCGCCGCCTGCGTCCCCTTTTCCCTAAAGGGGGTCGCTTCCGATTCGGTAGAAAGGTCATACAGGCCAATGCCAGTCCCACAGGTGGTGTTTAGTGGGGAGGCACTTAGGTTCGCAGTGAGTCCCACATAATCACGAAGCCGGCTGTCGTGGTATGCTTAGAGCACTCACTACCTCCCTCCCCCGCTTCCCGGAGGGTAGCCCTTTTCATTGCTTCTAGGCGCAAAAAAAGTGCGCCGCTCACTTAGCGGTCAGCCACCGCAGAGTCTACATCACCTGAAGATGCCTCGTGTAAAGGTAAAACACGTGTCGTATTATCGTCAGTGGTGTGTCCTTCCTAGTGTAGTGGTGTTGAGAATAGTGGTGCTGGGATTAGTGGTGACGGAGATAGTGCACGCAATTGAGGGAGGGCGGGAGGTGCTCTTCAAATTAGGTAAGACACATCATTTTATTTTATCGAGCGCATGTACTTGAGGTAATTTTTACCAACTTTAATATAATAGATTTCCGCAAAGTAACGCCTGATTCTATTATTTACAAATAATTACCTAAAGTTCTTGACTTACAAAGCAATATTTCGTATTCATTATAACATTAAAAATAAAGGGGGTAACAAAAATTGTGACATACATACATAAACTCGCGCCTTTTTGCCATGGAAGTAGGCAGAAACTACATAACTCCACCTGCATTCTTATTTTCTCGGCCATACACGTGCGCCGACCTTTTTGAAGGACGTTACCGATAGGGTCATGTGTAGGTATGTCCTTTTAGGACATCCCCTCTCAACAATGTCAATAAGACGAAAGTTAAGGTATTTTGAAAAAAATGAGTAAGTAAAAAAAAGGTTCTTATACTCGTATATTATGTTCCACAGCTGTGCACAGGCCTTCTCTCATTTCTGAGAGGGTTCTAGGGCAAGCAAATGTCCGCCGCGCTGCCCTAAAGCGCGTTAGCGGATTTCACATGTCTACGAAATATTTTTTTCTCAGACATGCAGGTTTTCTTACGATGTTTTCCTTCACCGCCGAACACGTGGTAAACCAGAACTTAAAATTGCCACTAACAATTTCATTGGTGCCGGCGGGAATCAAACCCAGGTTGCTTGCCGTATGTATCTGTATTCTGTATGTACTTAATGAATTTTTTTTATAGGAGAGGGGGCAAATGAGCATGCGGCTCACCTGATGGTAAGTGACTACCGCCGCCCATGAACAGCTGCAACATCAAGGAGGGAATCGCAGAAATGTGCGTTCGTGAAATTTGGCGGCTGGGATTAATTCGAACAATTTCTCAGAGCACTCCCCGTTGTAGATGTGAAAGAAAATGCAAAGGGATGCAACATTTCTTCGCAGTGCCAATGAATCGAGTCGATCGGAAAGGACTCGGTCGTCGACGATTCTGCGCTGGATGCGGTCAAGTGGAAGGAGCTGGCACTGGGGAGCCCCTGCCCAGAGATGGGAACAGTTTTCCATGTGAGGCCGAACCTGCGCCTTGTAAAGTTGCAGGTGGTGTGCCGGCATGAAATACTGTCTCACTCTGCTGAGCACGCCAAGCTTTTTAGAGGCGAATTTGGTCTTCTCTTCCAAGTGACCACGAAACTGCACTTCACTCGACATGTCGACTCCGAGGATTCCGATACTGGCTGAGGCAAGAAGGGGAGTGCATTGAAACTGAGGAGATACGACAAAGGGGTTCTTTTTAGCGGTAAACGCGCAAACTTGTGTCTTCTGAGGATTAAACTGGACTAGATTTAGTCCCCCCAATCCGAGACTTTGTTCAGCAAAGACTCGACTTCAGACACAAGTTTGTTCCGGTACTCGGAGACGTTTTCCCGAGAAATATTGGCACGGCCGGTGTATAGAGCATCACCAGTGCTGTCATCCGTATAGCAATGAATGTTACCAGTTAGCAACATATCATTGATATGCAGAAGAAACAGCGTTGGTGATAGCACACAGCCTTGTGGAACACCAGCGTTAATAGGCTTGTAGTCGGAGTATGCACCGTCTACAACGACCTTGATGCTCCGATCTGCAAGGAAGCTGGTGATCCAATCGCACAATTTCTCGGAAAGCCCATAGGAAGGGAGCTTCGAAAGAAGCGCTTTGTGCCAAACTCGATCGAAGGCCTTAGCAATGTTCAAACTAACGGCCAACGCCTCCCTCTGGGACTCTACTGCCTCTGCCCATCTATGGGTCAGGTAAACCAGAAGATCACCAGCTGATCGACCCCGATGAAAACTGTATTGGCGGTCACTTATCAGCTGGTGATCCTCAAGGTACCGCATGAGCTGGCAGTTAATAATTGATTCCATTATTTTGGAGAACAAGGAGGTGATCGTGATAGGCCTATAGTTGGACGGGTCTAAGCGGCCGCCTTTTTTTAGGATCGGGTGGACAAAAGCTGTCTTCCATGATTTCGGAACTACACCTTGGGGGTAGGAGTACCGGAAAAGACGCGTTAGAACCGGTGCCAACTCCGGAGCACACGTCATTAGCACAATTGAGGGGATTCCGTCAGGTCCACTCGACTTCTGGATGTCCAGGGAGAGGAGTGCTTTGCGACCCGAGCGCTGTGAGAACAGCACATCCGGCATGGAGCACTCACACCGCGGGATGGTCGGCGGTGTTTTCCCCCCGTCATTAAGAGTCGAGTTGGACGCAAAAAGGGAGCCTAAAAGGTCGGCTTTGTCTTTTGCGTCTTGGGCCAGTGAGTCGTCCTCCCTGTGCAGAGATGGTAGTGATGGCTTACAGAAATTCCCTTGGACAGCCTTGGCGAGAGACCAGAATGCACGGGTTCCCGAAGGAAGGCGAACTAGTTTCTCACCAATTATGTCTATGTGCTCTGACTTTGCCTTGGCAATAACTCTTTTGAAGGACCTGGTGGTGAATTTATACTTCTTTTTAAGTGTGCTGGTGTTTACATCCCGAGTCGATGAAGCCGCAGCCCAGGCTTGATAACACTCCTGCTTACTGCGTAATGCAGTCTTACAGGAGCGACCAAACCAAGGCTGAGATCTGCCTCCGATGGGTACCACAGATGATGGAATAAATAGTTCCATTCCCTGTAGCACCACATCAGTGATAGAGTCAGCAACAGCGCTGGGATCATCCGGCGAGAAGCAAACCCGCCCCCATGGGTAGGATGCAAAGAAAGACCGCATTCCGTCCCAATCCGCCGACCTGTAATGTCAAACACGGCGGCAACCTGCAGAACGCAACCGCGAGCGGAGCGTGAGTGGCACCACACTCCGGATCAGACAATTGTCCGAAGAGCCGAGAGGGGCATTGTCGTGAAGCGACAATTAAAAACAAAAGAACCTAACCTAACAACAACGAAACAACAAAAATAGAACAAAAACGAATAATTTATTTAAAATTTAAAAAGATATTTACAGTTTTATATAAAAAAATGAAGTATGATGATGATGATGGATGACGTGAATTACAATTATTTTAAAAAAGATAATGAAGATAGATGAGTACTGAAGCGGATCCCGAAGACCAAAGTGGCACACCGCGCTTGGCGGTGGTGCTCACCGCTCACGGAGTATGAACAGGCCGTGCCTGTGTTAGGTGCGCAGCGTCTGGTCTAGGCACACGCAGCGCCTGGAGTAGGCTCACGCAGCGCTTGGAGTAGGCACACGCAGCGCCTGGAGTAGGTACACGCAGCGCCTGGAGTAGGCACACGCAGCGCCTGGAGTAGACACACGCAGCGACTGGAGTAGACACACGCAGCACCTGGAGTAGACACACGTAGCGCCTGGAGTAGTCACACGCAGCACCTTGAGTAGGCGCTCTCAGCGCCTGGAGTAAGCGCGCACAGCGGCTGAAGATAGCGCGGGCACTAGTAGGTGGAGGCGTGGGCGTGGCTAGGCGACGACTTCAGGTGAAGGCAGAGGCTTGCAGGATCCCGGGGCAGTGCGGCCCCGGGATAAGGCCTTTAGGAGATGCTTCAAGTTTGAAAGCTGAAGCGAGACTCAGTTTATTGGCCGATTGTTCGGCTTTTATACCTATTTAGAGAGAACGGAAAATTATTTAAATTAAAAGCAAAGTTTTTGTAAATGGCCAAGAGGAAAAGAGTATTTATGTGGAAATATTGAAGTAAAAACAACAGACCGGTAACGAATTTGAATAAAAATTGCCATGACAACCAGATAAACAACGATGTCAAAACATGTAAAATTTTGGTTTCAGGCTCGTAATAGAGAAACGGCAAGATTTAAGTGAAAAATGAGATATTATTGATATAGGAAAAAAGGTAGCGCACCAGCGCGCACGAAGCCCGAAATTGCAGAGTTACGGAGAACTAAATAAAAGATCGAAAAAGGTAGACTCCATCGACACCGATTTAAAAAGTGCTGATAGCGTGAAAATACAAAGTGAAAATGATTTGTTATTGTGTTCTTATGGTTTAAAAACGTTAGAGGATCCTATGGAAATAAAGGTGATACAAAATATCCAGTTTTGAGGTGAATGCAGAAAATCAAAACAGAATGGAAAAATGAATTTAAAATAGTGTAAAATGATATGTAAGTAGCATAACACTACAGCATCGACGGAAACCTGATATCCGTCCGGATGAGAGGTCAGCAGAAGGTCCAACAGGGAAGGTGTATGATCCTCCACATCTGGAATCCGTGTAGGCGAAGTAACCAGTTGTGTCAGACCATATGCCAAAGCAAAGTCATAAACAGATCTCCCCGCATGATCGGTTAAACGTGAACCGAGCCATTCGGCGTGGTGGGCGTTAAAGTCGCCAAGGATCACGATTTCTGCGGATGGGACCTGTTGTAGCAAAGAATCTGTAGCCATTTGGACGTGGTCCAAAATTTGGATAGAGGCACCCGTAGACGCGCGGATGGTCGTTGCTGTCTACGCGTAGCCATTGGATGGACAGGTCCGAACCTTCAAGACTGCCGAGGCGTCGAGAACAGATCCTCTCTGACATACACGCAAACTCCAGCCCGAGGCACAAAGGAGTGCTCCAATTTGTACCCCGGGTAGGAGAGATACGAAGTATCAGCCGGAGAGGAAACCTGCGTCTCGGTCAGAAAGAGCAAGGCCGTCTTCGCCGTCTCGAGATGGTAGTGGACGGCGTTTAGGTTCGAGTGAAGTCCCCTGATGTTGCAGAAATTCACGGATAGCGTGGCAGGGGTCGCCTTGGTCTTGTTCATATATGATAATTTTTGAAAAATATCGATTACCAATGGGTTAAGAATCGTTTGTAGATGATTGTAATACTAAAAGATTTGTATTGCAGATTTTTTATTCTAAAAAGAGTTATAATTTGAAAAACAAAATGTGAAGATAATAAAAATTTATACATATTCTACAAACAACGCAGGTGATTGTAATAACCTTCATTCGTTTGTAGTCCTGAAAAATCTTCTGAAAATCACTAAAGGTTGTAATTTTTCATGAAATATAATCATTTTCGAAAAATCTTGATTACCAATGCGTTAAAAATCGTTTGTAGATGATTGTAATACTAAAAGATTTTTATTGTAGATTTATTTATTCTAAAAAGAGTTATAATTTAAAAAAATTGTAAAGATAATAAAAATTGATACATATTCTACAAACAACGCAGGTGATTGTAATAACTTTCGTTCGTTTGTAGTCCTGAAAAATCTTCAGAAAATCACTAAAGGTTGTAAATTTTCATGAAATATGATAATTTTTGAAAAATCTTGATTACCAATAGGTTAAGAATCGTTTGTAGATGATTGTAATACTAAAAAAAAAAATAGACCTATAATTTATACGGATGAATCGTACGTCTATTCCTCGCATAGTACCTACTACAAAACCATGGTCTGATGGATCGATCACAGGTTTAAATAAGCCTGTCTCAAAAGGTCAGCGCGTAGTGATTATGCATGCTGGATTTGAGTCTAAATTTATAACAAACGCATTGTTATTGTTTAAGGCGGGTACAAAGAGCGGCGACTACCACGACGATATGAATTATGTAAATTATGAAAAATGGTTAAAAACTCAATTGGTACCAAATCTTCCACCAAGATCAGTCGTGATAGTCGACAATGCTTCATATCACAACAAAGAATATAACTGCCCCTAACTCGAATGCTAAAAAAGCAGAAATGCATGCTTGGCTGAGAGATAACGGGATATCATTTAGCCCTGAACTCTTCAAACCTCAACTATACAACATAATTAAACAGAATAAAAAAATATTTAGAAAATTCAGTATAGATAAAATATTAGGAGAACATGGTCACGATGTCCTCTGTTTGCCACCATATCACCCCGACCTGAATGCCATAGAAATGGCGTGAGCTGCAATAAAAGGCTATGTTAGTAGCAAGAACGTTGAATGGAATATTAAACGTGTCATAGAACTTGTAAAAGAAAAGTTCATGCCATAGGCATTGAGTTATACGTACTACGTACTAGAGAAGCCATTCCAAACAAAAATTGTGTCCTACTCTGTCTTCGCGCATGCGCGGGAGTAGTAGTCGCGCATGCTCAAATACTTTAATTTTATATAAAATAATATATTAATATAAAATAAATATAAGAATTTAATATAAAATATCTTAATTTAATCTAAAGAAACATATTTCTAAATAATATGTAATAATAATTATTTTAAGGAATTCACAAATCTTCAATTTACGCAATATTTAGTTTGTACGGATTGCAGTACAGTTCAGTTGAACATAATCAATGTTCGGAATGACTTCTCTAGTACGTACTACGTAGTACATATAACTCAATGGCCATAGGTGTCGACGAGTGGCGAAATCTCTGCGGCAAAGTTAACCAAATAGAAGACGATTATCGCAAAAGTGATCATATAGTAGACCAAATAACAGAAGAATTATTTATTCGAGTGGGGCAAGATTCGGACAGTGATGCAAGTGATTCCAGTGACACTGAGCAGGATGATGAGTCAGTCCCGAGACCATGTTATGAAGAGCCGATCCTGGAGTATATCGATTGACGAACTGTTCTGTGGCCAAGTACGTCATTCGATATACCTGGAATACTGCCCTTAAGTGACAGCGATTGAATATTGTAATTTTTCATAACCAAAATAAAACTTTTAATTTATTATTTGATTTTTTTTGCAAAGTATTGCGTGTAAGATATCTATATAATCGAAGGCTTTCGCACAATACAGTTAAAACAGTAATTACAAATACATTAATACAAATACGAAATATTTTATTTCTTTAACTAAGTGTACATAAAATACAGAATATTATTTAGCAGCAATTAAATCCTAACGATGACATATAAAAATATCGTTTATTTTCGCGGAGACTAAATCGAGGGCGGCACTGAAAATTGCGGGAATCAAGGAAGTGACACAACATTACTATTTAAAAATGTATTTATTGCTTTTCCAAGTATTCTCCGCGAAATTTGACACATTTTTCCATACGATGGAACCAATCATTGAAGCAACCATTCCATTCGGAAGTTGGGGTCTCCAAAATGGCCGTTTTGTAGGCGTCCACAGCTTCTTCAGGTGATGAAAATCTCTGTCCACGCAATTTATTCTTTATTTTAGGGAAAGTATAGAAATCATTAGGGCTTAGGTCGGGGCTATACGGCGGATGGTCTAATAATTCTATGTTTTCTTGCTCTAAAAACTCTTTTGTTCTGTGTGCGGTGTGGGTTTTGACTTGCATTGTCGTGATGGAGGATGATGCGGCGGTTGCAGTTCTCTTTACGGAGTTCAGAAACGACCTGTGGCAAACAAATGCTAGCATACCATTCTGCATTAACCGTTCTTTGTCCCTCAAGAGGAATAGTCGTAACATGGCCGGTTTTGGAGACAAACGTGGCCACCATTTTTTTTGCACGGAGTGTTGCAAAAAAAAAATGAACGAACAATTTTTGTTGGCTTTAACTCATTTTCGAACACCCAAACTCGTGACTGGTTTTTTGTTTCGGGTTCGTACGCGTATATCCAGGTTCCATCCAGCGAATGCGGTATCCATCGGGAAAACAACTTTTTTACACCTAAGTGTTCATGCAAGATTATTTGTATTTGACTCATGCCAATGTCTAAAGTTGCCTGAATTTCGCGGTATGTCACATGTCGATCTTCCTCAATCAGCTTATGCACAGCATCAACGTTTTCTTGGGTGACTGCAGTTTTGGACGACCTTGACGGGGATCATCACTGAGCTTGACACGTCCACGTTGAAATTCAGCAAACCAGCGATAAATTGTGGTTTTGGATGGGGCTTCATCACCAAATGCAGAAATCATCCGGTCAACACACTGTTTTTGTGTTAAACCACTTTGAAAGTCATAATAAATCATCGCTCTTGAATTTTCTCGAGTCAATTCCATTTTCTCAACGACTAAACAAGTTTGACAAAACCTTGTGACAAGACCGAGAATCTTTTTTTAAATAAATAAATGGTGTTCGATTTTTAAAACCAAGGACTTTTCAATTAAAAAAAATTTAATATGACAGGAACAGTGGAAATATTCCATTCCCGATACTTTTAGTGCAGCCTATGTAGTTATAATGTCGACCTTTGACTTTTTACATATAATGCTATAATACAATGATGCAAGAGAAATCGGAAAGATTTCTATGGGAGGCACAATGCGGATTTAGACCTGGAAGAGGATGCACGGATCAAATGTTTTCTCTCCGCATGATCACGGAAAAGCTTCTGGCTGCTAACCAGAAGATTTTCTGTGCTTTTGTGGATCTTGAGAAAGCATTTGATAAGGTTGTAAGGAAGAAAATGTGGGAACTGTTGCCGGGGTATGGTGTGGATGGTCGATTGCTAAGGGCTGTGCAGTCTCTTTACTGTGACTGTAAAGCCTGTGTGCGGGTAGGGCATGACCTGTCACCCATATTTAGCGTCCAAACGGGCGTAAAACAGGGTTGTGTCATGTCTTCCTGGCTGTTACAACCTGCTGTATCTCGACAGCTGTTTACAAAAGCGGAAAGATAGCTGTTTGGGTGTGAAATTGGGTGACATTAAAGTAAATTGTCTGCTGTATGCTGATGATGCAGTGCTTATTGCACCATCAGAGGCAGAACTGCAGGAATTAGTCACGTGTATGAAAGAGGAATGTGAAATTAAAGGTCTCCGTTTGAACGCTAATAAAACTAAGGTTCTGGTATTTGAAAGGGACAAAGAGAGAACGAAGTGTGAAATATGGGTAAATCAGGAATGTCTAGAACAAGTAAATGAAATTGTATACTTGGGGAGTGCTTTTAGCCGGGATGGAAGATGTGATTTAGATGTGGACAGGCGTGTCGCTGCCGGGAACAAAGTCAATGGTGCCCTGACTGCGTTAGTCAAAAGGCAAGGCGTAGTGAAGAGTGCACGCCTTGCAATACATAACGCAGTGTTGGTACCGACTTTGTTATATGGCAGCGAAACCTGGGTATGCCAGAAGAAGCATAAAAGCAAGTTGAATGCAGTGGAGATGCGATCTCTTCGTAAAATGTGCGGCGTTACCATGGCCGACCGAAAGCGAAACGAAGAGATTCGCAATATGGCAGGTTTGAAAGATGACCTTATCACAAAAATTGATAAGGGCGTGCTTCGGTGGTTTGGGCACGTTGAGCGAATGAGTGAAGACCGAATGGTGAAGAAAATATATAGCGCGAAAGTTAATATTAAAAGGTGTCGAGGTAGACCGAGACTAACTTTCGAAGACCATGTGAGCAAATTGCTCGAAGAGGGTAGGGTCAAGAGTACTCAGATACCTAGACGTGCATGTATGAAGAAGATAATGAATCTGAAAGAAGCGAAAGAGGTATGTAAGGATCGTGACACTTGGCGATCTGTTCTCTCTGGCTACCCCGTCAGGGATTGTGCGTGAAGATAAGTAAGTAAGTAATGCTATAATACAATTTTCATTTTTTTGCTTGATTATATATGCGCAGTGGACGCCATTTAATTTCATGATTCCCTTGATTCCCATGACCTATACAGGCATCTAACATTGTAATTAGGTATTACAATGTTAGATACCTGTATAGGTATATTATCTCTAAGATTTAAATTGTATTTGAAATTTAATCTTGAATAAGTATTTACTAAGTATTATTATTTGTTTATTACTTGGATAAAAACTAATGAACCGTTCACGACAATTATTTATGTATTCAAATTACATTATTATTTTTTGTTAAAGTATGTCACGATTTCATAAATAGATGTAATAAACTTTATTGTCAGTGCACCAAAATTATTACACAGCTCATACAAAATATCACTAATATTTTCAATCTATTTAAAACAAATTTTGCCTTAAACTTTGTACTTACAGTTTTGAAATAACTAATGAACAGTTCGTGACTATTTTAAATCGAGATATAGAATATGATTTATTTATTCAAATTACAATAAGTTATTTATTGAAGTATGTAACATTTTTTTAATTTTCAGTCGTTGTAATTTAAATTATATTCAAAATTTGACAGAAGTCATGGGTTTCATTTTAACATTTTATATTAAAATATTGAAAATTAATTAATGTTATTACATCATTTTGTTTTTTCTGGCAAATGAACTATCTATAAATTATACTTACTTACTAATACAATAAAACGGTAGAGTTTTTGTATGTTTAAACACGCTAATCTCTGGAACTACCGGTCCAAATTGAAAAATTCTTTTTGTGTAGTTATGATAGCCAGATTCATGAGGAATACTATAGGCGACTATAATAATCTAGCATTAAGCTACACCACGGAATATAAAAAACAAGTTTTGTATATTCCGTGGGCTACACCTCTTAGTTAGCCTTAAATAATGGTTTTTGTAAAAAGTTTTGGAAAAGCCCTCCCGAACTGCTGCTTTATCCGTGTGCACTGGCGTAATGGTTAGGGATACGTAAATACGTTCTACAAAAATGATGATCTTTACTCCATCTAAAAAAGTCTGCGATTCCATATTTCTATTTCTTATACATGAGCCACGATACGGTTTTTAGTGACAAAAAATACCTAATATAAGAGTTAAAAAAACTTAACAACACGCGTTGATCATGGGCTATAACGATCCTGTAATTATTTTATTTTGTCCTGGTGTTCCTGATCAGGATAATAGGATAAATTTATTAAATTATTGTATTGTCATCGGTCCTTGATACGAGTGCAAATTTTTAAGTCAACCGGCCGTCTATAACTTGGTGAAAATTACATTAAAACATTCCGTTACATAGATAGATACAAGTGAAGCTAATACGTAATAAAAGTGTGTTAATTATTTAAAATTCCAATGCCAATACACCTT